TTTCCCTAGACTACTATGAATATTTGGAACTGAACTAGATTTTATTGAACTAAGTTTGGCATTTGTAAGGCAGTTTCTTTGGATCTCTTCATCAGTGGTTACTGCTGAGCCATGAAAACTCTGGTCATTGACAGTTTTATGGCTGTCAGTGAAAGAAAATTTAAACAAAGGGAGCATGCTTCCTTTCTCTCTTACACCCTGCTGCTTTTCAGAATGACTAAGAACTTTGAAAAATGGAATATCTAATTTTCCACTAAAGGAAAAGGAATGCCCACCTTTCTTAGGGCCCCTTCCCCATCCATCTTCCTCCAACTGGTGAATTTTCATAGAGTCTGACAAAGTCTCCTTTGAATAGGTCTCAGGCGAAGTGAGCAAAAACTGGCTAAACGATTTTCTGAGTGGCTCAAGGAAATAATCATCACCAGTAATTTTGTCCCCCTCTAATGGCTTTGAAGATGGCTCTTTATTTGCAGTTCTGCTGTCAGCTTCACAATGATGTCCTAAAGTATCTTTGGCACATATTTTTCGTTGATCTGGTAACAGAGACAGATCTGTACAGGGTTCTCTTTCCAACGGACTCGCAACATCATCTTTCTTATTTGCAGAATCAGCTAAGTTAGAATGTTCAATGGCTGCTTGGGAAGACAACAAATCCTCACTTAGGGGCATTTGGTAGTGAGGAGTTTCTCTATCACTCCTATCCAAAGTGACAATGCTACTGTCATTGCCAAGGGTATGTTCCCTTTGATTTGACTCCGAACCACACGCAACAAAGTTTTCCTTTCTTGTTGGCTTGCTCTGGTCATCGTCTTTTTTGGTTTCATCCTTTTCCAAAAAGATTTTTAATGGATTTAGCATGCTGCAAACAGACTTTATAACTGAACTCTGACTCTGTGAAGCAGAGTCCCTTCCAATAGCTTCTGTTGGATCCTGAAAGTTTAAACTTCCAGTTTTACTGTCCATGTGTTCATTTTCAGAGGTTTTGTCATGTTTGCCAACGTCCTTATTGTCAACTGTTTGAGAAGATAATGGAGATGGAGATTGTATGGAAAGATCCTTCTCTGATACTGACTTGGCTCTGGGTCTAGATGGCGAATTAATCGCCTCTGTCTGATTAAGAGTTTCTGTTTTCTCTGGAACTAAATAAACCAGCTTTTCCACAGAGGTTGTTAGATGCTTTGTGCCTGAACCCACCTTTTCTGTGAGTGAACTGAATAAAGAACCAACAGCACATTTTACTCCATTCAGCTCAGGGAAAGA